GGTGAGTAAATGATGACTGAATTTACATTTTGGGTGAACTGTCCCTTTAAGTGTTAATTTGAGCTCATTATTGACTGTATTTACGTGTTTTGTGCAACATTATTATTTTATGTTTAAAATCAGCTGTTGAGTCTGATGTGGATGTTCTGTGATGAAGTGATAACCAGCTCCAGCCTTCTGAATGTCCTGTCTGTATGGCCATTGATGTTGTTTACACTTCTATTTGTTCGAAAAAAAAGACCAAATGTGAAAGGTGCAGTCGAGGTCAACTTAGTATCTGATTTTGCACATTGTGGGATTCATTTACAGTATGAAGAATACAGAACATAGCTGTACTGATAAATGTGATCTTTGTAATTAAAATAGGATTAAAAAAGATGGAAACCAACTAAAAGATATTTTAAGCTTCTACATTTGTAGATCATATTTTGTACATTTCCTCTGACGCATGTTTACCTGTGCTTGGGTATGTGCTTTTGAGTTACAATTTAAACTATTATATACATATGTATCATTGTAGAAAATTATATTAATCTAAAAAACGACAGATACTGTGGATTTACTGATACTGTTGTATTGCCTGTGTAGTGACTTTTTTATTATTATGAAACATTGTTTGAGTGATGTTCTGCATTCATGAGTTCAGATGAAACTCTGAGCCAGACGGTGTCTGAGATGTTCAATGTCACAATCACGCCACGTGAATCAGTGGATTCATTAAGAAAATGAGCACTTGATATTGAGAACTGAGTGTTATTCATGTAGCCTTCTTTAAACAAAAGAGCCTTTCAAATTCTTTATTGATGTTCATCATAATTTTCAGCTTAAAATAAAAAATCTTGTGTAAAATATATAGAATTCTTGTTTTGTTTTTTTTAATGTATTTTTGTTGAGGGGAGTTGGTAAGCAAAAGACAAGAAACATTGAAGGGTGGATCACACAAATTTAATATTTTACCCTAAATTCACAAGAAAAACAAGACAAGTGAAGGACATTACCCTCACAAATTCACATTATTGTAATGTAAAAAATTCTCTTTATTGTAAGACGCGTTAAAATGTTTTTTTTTTTATGTTTTACAATTTAAACATTTAAAAATGTACATGTGAAATTACTGCATAATAAATAAATGTGAAAAATGGCTTCTTTCCTTTAAAGTTCAATATTCTATCTCAATCTTTTCTCTAAGAGTGCTGTTTTCTTCAATCATGAAAGTAGTTTAGTCAGGCAGCACAAGCCCAATTAGTTTTTTTTTTTTTTTTGTACAAACATTTTCATGGTGAAATCCTACTTTTTAATGATCTCTATTTAAAGGAGACATTATGTCCCTTTTTACAATATGAAATATAAGTCTCTGGTGTCCCCAGAATGTTTCTGTGAAGTTTCAGCTCAAAATACTCCACAGATCATTTATTATAACATTTTGAAAATGGCTATTTTGAGTGGAAGCAGAAACACGCTGTTTTTCGGGCCGGTCTCTTTAAATGCAAATGAGCTGCTGCTCCCCGCCCCATTTTCCCAAGTAGGTATAACTGCAGACCGGAGATCTCCAAAATGGGGCGTGAACTCCAAAAGTGGGCAGAACCTCCAAAATGGGGCGGGGTCGCTTCGCGCAAAGAGACCCCGCTCCATTTTCCCAAGTAGGTATAACTGCAGACCGGAGATCTCCAAAATGGGGCGTGAACTCCAAAAGTGGGC